AGAGACAATTTGAAGTTCAGTGAGTAAATCCTAACCATGTTAAAGTTCAGTGACCATTCAAACATTTTACTCAGATTTTCGATGTATTAACATCCACGTGTATTTTAAGGTCAAATCGATATTAATCTAATAAATAATTACGCCATTACCTTGTAATTTTGTCACTACATCTCTTCCACGTCTCAAACTCTTTCGTCACAATTGGTGGTCTAGTGTGTAACCATTAACAGCTAAAGTACACAATCAATGAGGCTCCACTTAATTTGACTTTTAGTCATGATTTGGAGAGGTGAAACAGCAATATTTAACGCTTAGAATTCTGGGGTTGATACTTTGAGTGCTTTCTTCTGCGTAACATGCTCTAAAGCTATTGTATCATCCTCAGGTTCGCGATCCCAACACGATTTTCAGTGATACTAACAACTATTACTTCCGAACTCGTATCATTTTTACCAGGATAATTTAAGAGGTAATTTGCATCCATTCTTCAAAACGTCTTCTTCATCTAATGTTCCGTTTAAGTTCTTTGAGGCCATCTCTTTCACAAAATGAATTTTGCAATGTTGAAAATAATTTGCTATTGTATTTACTGTCCAAGCTGGGACTGCAAGATTGATTGCATTCAAAGTATTTATTTTTTTGGATTGGTTTGCCCCAATTCATAGCCCTCCAAAATCCTACGATAAAATCATATGGAAAATACATTTCGAAAGCTCTTATTTTCCTGCATCAGATGTTGGGTGGGAAAAAATAGCTAAATATTTTGTAATCCTTCAATATTTTGTGGATGGGCCGGACAATTATCTGAGATTCTCTCCCATGCATTTTTTTATCAAGTCACCGAACATATTCCTCGAAAAGCATCCAAGTGACCCACGATCTTTTGTTGGCACGATATTGACAATTCAATCTGTTCATGTTTATATTCTTGAAGCAACGTAGTTTTGCATAATTTTCCGAATCCATAAAGAATTTTTTTGTGGGTCATCATCATTACAACAAAAAAACAATTGTAAGCCTTTATTTGTATTGCTTTTCTTTCAAGTCGCTTCGTTGCAAGAGAGTGATCAAGTTGTAACCTATAAAACTATCGTGTTTTATCCATATTGAAAACATCTTTCATGGCAAGCCAATTATCTATTTTTTACCTTATGGACTTCAATTTCTTCACCATGTCGTGTATCAATTGATCCACTTTCCCCAAAACGACGAAAAGACTTAATATTTTGTCTTAACTTGAACTTCTCAAGCAAACCTTGAGAAAATTTGAATTCTGAAGTCTCTTTAGGGTTTAATTATTTCATAGTGTCTCTTGCCTATTTCAAGATTAGTCCTTCTGTTATGTTCACACGATCTTAGTTTTAAAGAAACCACTCATATACAGCCTTCTTCATGTCTGAAAATTTTGATGGTTTATGTTGTGTAGCCTGACCACTCATTTCGCGAAAATTTTCAGACATGAAGAAGGCTGTTTATGAGTGGTTTCTTTAAAACTAAGATAGTGTGAACATAACAGAATGACTAATCTTGAAATTAGTAGATAATTAAGTAAAATGTTCAAAGGAATTCAAAAATTGAAGACGAAACTGAATTGAAGAACTATCAATTTCCCTTCTCTTAGGCTCAGAAATTTTTAATCCAACACCAAAAAGGCAACACCTATTGGAGAATCTTGGAAGTAGAGAGAGTTGCACACAAAGGCAGGAAGAAGATGCACACAAAGGCACAGTGAAGAGAGGGATGAAGAAGCCGGTTATTTCTTCAAGATTTGGTGTGTATAAATGAGAATAAAAGACTCCAATTTATAGGCAAAAATGGCAAACAAACTTCCAGATAAGTCTCTCCAAGATAGAGTTCAAGAAGATTGAAATGGCTACCAAGGATAAGAATATCATAACCATCTAACTTCCACGTGAAAAGAGATAGAATTCTCAATTCAAATTATCTCCACAATTGGGTATTGAGCACCTAGCCCAATGTGCTGATTTTCTCTAAATACCCAACAAGATCGGGCTACATCATTTGTGGTGTGAATTTTAATATTCTTCATTCCCGGGCTTATAGCCTACGAAGATAAACAAGCCACGATTTTTTTACCATTGCCTAGGGGTTATTTGGGCATCACCAAAATACTAAACAATCTCCACCTTGATGCCAAATCAACCTGCAAGCCAGATAAGATAACAAATAGCTTAAG